AGACTTAGTGGTATATATCTCCTGGATTTCTTGCCAGTGGCTCCCTTAGCAAGATTGTTGCAGGTGAACTCAGCATGAATAGGCAGTCTAGAGAAAAAATTTGGGTTTTGGTGGGTTGAGTAAAAGAAGGGGCTGATTGGCTTAGATGAGCTGACCTTGTGATAGAATTATGTCTTGTATTGGAGTGTAGATTCTGGGTCTAGAGGTCTTAACAGAGGAATAGCATTTGCTTAACAGACTGGAGACCCTAGAGTCGATTCTTACCACCTAAGGGTGTTCATGTTTATGTTTTGGGAGTAGGGTTAAGAATGGTTTGTATGCTTGTTTTGGTCTTAAGATTTTAGGGAGGTTAACACATAAATGTAAGGACCACTCAAGGTGAAGTTTGAAAATAATGTAGTAATACTACAAATCTAAGGAGTTTGGGATAAAATTGTTTCTCTCTTCTCCCTGACTTATCTTTTGAATTCTAGCTAGTGTCAGGAATCTTTCAGATTTGTTCCTTTCAGTTTTGAGTAATAGCTCAAATATTTTCATTGAGTGTCAGTTACATTTATATTTCAGTTCTTTTTGTTTTAAATTTGAGGCCAGATCTTCTTGTGTGTGTTTGGTAGCCTCAGTGCTGAGAGGATAGGTACATACTATCTACCATGTTCATTTGTTCCCCTAGTTTGGAATCAATTAGAGAGTAACAAAGGTGTGAAAATATTGTTTCACACTGAAGTTTGAGAGTTGAACAAACTTTTTAGGATTTTTTTTTTTTTTAAGTCCCTCTTATCTGGTGACTGTATCCTAATTCCAAGAACTAGGTGCCAACTGGTAGTGGGTAGGTGGGGGGTCATTCTGGGGATTGGATTCAGGACCTCACACTGTACCACTGAGCTTATCTCCCATCCTCATTCTTTGCATATGCTTAGTACCTGTTTTGTGTTTTTTTGAGACAGCATCTCATGCTGGCCTAGAACTTGCTATATAGACTCACCTAGTCTGGAACTCATATATCCAACTGCCTCTGCCTACTTAGTCCTGGAATTAAAGGTATATGCCATCCTGCCTGACCTTGGTATTAACTTTTTTTTCCCCCTCCCCAGACAGGGTTACTCTGTATAGCTTTGGAACCTGTCCTGGAATTCACTGCCTCAGCTTCTCAAGTGCTAGGATTAAAGGTGGGAACCACCACCTCCTGGCTGGCAGTTTTACTTTTTAACTGCAGAAATATCCCTATAAGTTTGTGTTCTGGAAGTTACAGGTGGCTGAGAGCTGCCATGTGGGTCCTTTGCGAGAATAAGTGCTCTTAACTGCTGAGCCAGCTCTCTAGCCTCCATTTTCTTTTATTTAATTGCATTTGTGCTCCTCTGCAAATTACTTAATTCAGTCTCTGTTTCTTGATGAAATATATATGGTGGCTTTAAAATAGGATAGTTGTGGATAGTAATTATAAAGTAGGAACTCTGGACTGGTGATGTAGGTGAGTGAGTGAGTCCCTGCCTAGTATGTTTTAAGGTTGATCCCCAGTACTGCCATGGTAAAACAACACAACTTTCAGCAGTATCAATAGCACCCCAGGCCTATGCTCCATGATGGGAATTTTCTGAACTTCTGCTAGCTTCATCAACTTTAGCTTTTATTTATTTTTGGAGCCTAGACTGTCCTTGAACTTTTTCTTCAGTTTCTAATCTGTGAGATGGGGCTGGTAGTCTCTACTTCATGGACTGCTATGAAGAAAAAAGCCTGGAGGTTTATAAATGCCAGATAGTTGGGTGTGCTAACTGTTATACACAAGGCTGCTCTGATGACTAGAAAATTCGGGTGAGGAATTTGCCAAAATTGCCTGGCGCTGAGTGCTCAACAAACAACTGTAGTAATTGTCATTTTAATATCTTATGTGGGTTTGGGCTCTAACCTAGGGCTTCACTATGCTAGGCAACCTCTCAGCCATTGAACTACTCCAGCCCTAATTTATTACTATCCTTATTTGCAATAATAGTGATATTTAGACATCTTGCTGTGTTTTCCAGAGTAGGCACACACCACCCCGACCCCACCCCTAGTCCTCAGACTATATAGAGTATCTGGGCTACAAACTTGTTCCACCAAACTTTGGTTCTGTAGTTTGCTTTCTATTGTTTGTTCATTTAATTTCTTTGGATGTCGCAGTAGAATCCAGAGCATTGCACATGCTGGGCAGTTTGCTATATGATCACAGGTTGACAGGCTTCAGTCTCCTGCTGCTGTTACTGTATCATCCTTTCTCATATTTATCTTGTCTTTCCTCTCTTTTGCTGTGGTTAGTGTGACAAAAGCTAAAACTTGGAATTTATGGAAAAGAAATGCATGCAGAGATACAGACTCTAGCTTCTTTTAATCTGGAAAAGAGAACAGAACAACTTTATTTTACAGTGGTGTGTATGGGGCAGAGCAGGTTGCTGGGAGCATCAGGCCTTATCTGGAGCTTAAGAGGTCACAAGGGCTCAGAGCTATCTCATGAACATCCTTCCCCAAAAGGCACAACTGAAGGTGGTTTTCCTTCTGGCTGTCAAGTTGCCCTGCTTGTGAGCATGTGGACATGTGAATGAATGCCAGCGAAGAAGTAACTGAGTCACTGGTGGCCCTTGAAAGTGTCTGAATAGTCTCACTCTTTCAGTTGACTTCTGTTTGTTCTGGAAGACTGCTGTTTTGCAGTTGTCTTCATTACGAAGAGTTGTTTCCTTTTGTTTACTTCCCCTTCTTTCAATAGACTAACAGTTAAAAAGCACCTTTAGAAGGACTGTGTCTTGTAGACGGATTGGGGTGGTGGGATGACAGACCAGCTCACCAAAAAAAATGACACAAAGACTTATTAATTATAAAATCTCAGCCTTTGGCTTAGGCTTGATCACTAGCTCTTGTAACATAAGTAAGCCATTAATATTAATCTACGTTTTGCCTCATTGCTTTTCCCCTTTCATCCATCTTGCACCTCCTATTTCCTTTCTGTCCTCTGGTATCAGGATAATGGTCAAGTCCTGACTAGAATAGTCTGTGAGTTTGGACCATCTCAGCTAGCTGCCTTGAAGCTGTTCTGGATGCCAAACGGAGGAAATTGCAAGAGAGGTACTCTGAGAAGCTGGATCATCTGGGCCACTTGGTTCTTTGTTTTGTTTTTGTTTTTGTTGTCTGGTCCCCTTGCTCTGAAAACATAAATTTTCAAAGGTAAAATATATATCTGCATTAACACAAGTATGGACGGTGCATTGTACACAAGGCAGCCAAAGATGATTTTTTGTTTGTTTGTTTTGTTTTATGTTTGAGCAAGTAAAATACATGTTGCCTGTCTTGTAGTTTTTCTGGGTTTTTTTTTTTTGGATGCCTCCAGCCAGGATTTTTAGGGTGTCTCCCCTGATCAAACCTGATCTCTGCCAACCTTGAATGAATCCACAGGCTTTCATTTTCTGTGGAAACAAAAGCATAACCTCTTCCCTAAAGCAATATATTTCCTGACTTCCATTTTAAAGTTAAGGTATTCCTAAAGTATCTAGGCTGGTTCAATTCAGCAGGTGCTTTTTACAATACCATGTTTCTCTGCAGCTGTCGTTTACTCATCAGCAATCAAATAATTCAAAGTCAGCTAGACATACAGGATCCAGACTTTCCTGTATTTATGTGATTTATGCTTTTTTATTTTATTCTCTCTTCAAAAGCTTTATTTATAAACTTTTTTTTCTTTGACTATACCTATTTTCTTTCTTTTTAAAACCTATGCATATTTTTTAAACACACTGTAATTTGTTTAAGAAGGTTTTTCGTTTTGGTTTGGTTTTTTTCTGTCCATCTGCATCTGTCTTTACTGAGCACCTGCAACATTCTCTGAATGTATGAGACAAATCTTAGACTGTCATGTCAACTTCCCAGGATCAGCTTAGCACATGGTGCTGGTAACCGCTCTTCTTTATGCCAAGCACCAGACTTTAGGACTAGAAAACCACATCTGGCTCCTTGTCCAGAATTTTCGTAAATTTCTCAAACCCTGTATGTTTGGATATTCGAGCCCCTACGTTGAATGCCAAATGTAAAGGGATTATTGGGGGAGGGGGGAGCTCACAAAAAAAAAAAAAAAGACAGGGAGACTTACTGTTAATCGTGAAAGCTCAGCTTAGAGCTTAGGGTTATTCCATTAGCTCTTATAACTTAAATTAACTCATTTATATTAATTTATGTTTTGCCTTATTGCTTTTTACCTCTTTTTCATCTTGAACCTCCTGTTTCCTCTTTGTTCTGACATCTCATACACCTAGATTAATCACCTCGTTTTTCTTTGCTCAGAAGTCCCATCTAATCTCTTCCTGACTAGCTATTGGCCATTCAGCTGTTTATTAAATCAGTCAGAAGGCACTTGGCAAAGACACATTTTCACAGTGTACAGAAGCATTATTCTAGAACAGTAGCTCTGTGTCTGGCATGGGGACCGGCAAACAGCAGAATTTGGTAAAAAGCCCATAGGATGACACTTTAAGGCTGTTTCTAATTCAGCTTCATTGTTAAAAAATTTTTTTTTTTTTGGGTTTTTTTTTTTTTTTTTTTTTTTTTTTTTTTGGGGGGGGGCGGGGCGGGGTGGGGGGGGGGGGGGGGGGGCCGGGGGGGGGGGGGCCCGCGGGTGGGGGGGCCTGAGCAGAGTGTTTGTTTGTTTGTTTGTTTTCTTAATACATGGGGTTTTATAGGGTATGTTAAGAGTTCTTTTGCTCAAAATATATATTTAACAAATGAAATTATAAGTAAGTTGGGATAAAAATTAAAAATGAAACTTATACATTTAACTCAGCTTTGAGAAGAAGTGAATTCAAACAGTATAGTAGTTTCATTTTATCTCAGTTCAATAAATAAGCAAACCCACAAATACAAAAAATATTTTCTTTTTTCCTGGGTTGCTGACTAATTGTGCTAGTTGATGAAAAAAAAAAAAGAAAAGAAAAGAAATAAAACAAGTACATGACTTCCCTAAAGTCTGGAGAGATTTTTTTTTCCAGGTAGACTACTGCACCCAGGCATCCCTCAAAGTGGGTGGGGCGTATTAGGGGCAACCTTTACTCACTCAAAAATTCCATCTCACATTAGCAGTGAGGACTTGGGCTCACCACGCATCTTCATTTTCCTTACTCAAAAGTTTAAGGCATTGGAGAAGATTTTTATTTTAGACAACACAAGTGAGAAAGCAGGCAGAGGAAAGTGTCCAGGCTGAACATGGCTTGCAGACTAATCCAGACCAAGAGAGGTTGCCCAGGTTAGGCAGTTAGGTGGCCAGGAGACTAGTGTAGCCAAAACGGCTGAGTTTATATAGAGGTAAGTCTGGGAAGAGAAGCCCAGTTCATAGGAGAGAGGTTTAGGGTAGGGGGCAGGATGAGAAGTGCTGAGAGGAGCCACAGGTACTGAGTGAGTCCTAGGTTTGAAACCTAACACAGTCATAGCAAAGGAACTGAATTGGTTGCTAGGTTTTTTTGCTTCTTTTTCTTGGTTTTCCAAGACAGGGATTCTCTGTGTGGACCTGTTTGTCCTGGAACTCACTTTCTTAAATTATCCCATCTACCTTTTGCCTCTGGGCTTTTATCTTTCTCAATTTCTGTATACCTTTCTTTACTCCTCTCTATGGCTTGCTTTGTTGCTGGATGGCTGGCCCTTGATGGCCTCCTCTCGTTCTATCTAGCTCCTTCTTCACAGATTTCTCCTATTTATTCTCTTTGCCTGCCAGTCCCAGCTGTCTTTTCTCCTGCCTCGATGTTGGCCATTCAGCTTTTTACGAGACCAATCAGGTGTTTTGGACAGCTTCACCGAGTTAAACAAATGTAGCATAAACAAAAGTAACACATCATTAAATTGTTAAACAAATGTTCCAGAGCACAAGCAAAAGTAACACACCTCAAAATAATTTTCCATAATAGTTCTCCTTGGGGGCCATCACCTTTACCTGCTGAGCCATCACACTGGCTCAGCATTTGGTAGTTTAATAGATGTCTTGAGCTTCCCTCAGACTAGTATGTCTCTTAACCACCTAAATAAAGCCTGCTTAGGCTTTGTGAAAGAAAAGTGAGAAAATAGGAAGGGTCCCAGTGACTCTCACTTTACAGAGACAGAATTTCCCAAGAATGCAGTTACCTAGGTGTTCTGGCAGACAGGTTTAGAGAGTAAAACCCTGAACATTCAGTGCTTCATTGTCCCAGCAGCCAGAAAACAAGATGCCAGATGCTCTGGCTTGCAAGCTGGGGCACAAACAGAGAAAGTTTGTGCTATAATTGTACTGTGTAACTGCTACTCCTACATGCTTGCGCTTATTCTGGCTACCCCCTCTTTCCAGTTCTTCCATTTACACATTTATAGGTTTTAATTAAAAAAAAACATTTTATTTTAGAAATACACCAATTAAATGTTGTGTAGCCAAGAATGATCTTGAACTTTTGATCTTCTGATTTGCCTCCTGAATGCCGGGATTACAGGCATGAACCATCTTCACCTGTTCATAATGTGTTGGTGAGCAAACCCCTCAGGGCCTCATGAATGCAAGATAAGTTCTCTATCAAGCAAGCTAGTCCCCATCCTTAAACTTCGTTGTTGTTTTGAGACTTTGTATGTTGTTCATTCTGGCCTAAAGCTTTAGGTTCAATCCATCTTTAGCAGTTACTATAAGGATGTGCTGTTAACTTAGCTTTTCATTTCCTTCTAGGTTTCCTACCCTCCCCACCCCCCAACACACCTTACTATGTAGCCTAGATGGGCTTGAACCTGCAATCTTCATGCCCCAGCTCCCCGACTGTTAGGGATTACATACCCATGCCATTATGCTTGCCTTCATTACTTAAAATCTAACTAAGTAGTTTTATTCATGGTAGGAAATTGAGAAAATGTAGGACAACATTGGCCATTGGCTTAATGGTTCAGTGTGTCTACAAACCTGGGTGTGACACTGTAATTAGAGAGCTTTGATTCACAGTACTGCAAAACAACGACTGTATTCACCAATAATAGGAAATTCCTCTAGTAATTTTCATTTTGATGTCATTTAGAAGTAGAGCCTTGCTGCCGTAATAAAATTATCCTGGTTTCTTTTCTGTTGTTGTGATCAAATCCCCTGATTAAAATAACACAATGGAAAAAGAACTTATTCTGGTTCACAACTGCAAAGTTGTGGCTGGTAACTCAAGGCAGCAGGAGCATGAAGCTGCTGGGCAGTGTCCACAGTTGGGGTTCTAGATGATGAGTGCTGCTGCTTGGTTCTCTCCATTGACACAGTCTTCATCTGCCCAAGGAGGCATCCTTCCCCACATCAGTTAATATAACCTTGAGAATCCCTCACAGATGTGTCCCAAGGATGGTTTTAGGTGTTCTTAGGTGAATCTGGATGGGGTCAATTTGACTATACCAACCATCCAACCATGCATCACAAAAATAAAAATGAGGTCAAAGGTCAGAGACCTAGGTGATTCTGACAGGCTGAGATTGCTTTGTTGTAGCTGGGGAAACCCACAGAAACAGTTGACCTGAGCAAGTGGGAGTTCACAGACCCCAGTCTGACAGCTGGGGAACCAGCATAGGACTGAACCTGGCCCCCTGACATGAGTGTCTTTGGGGCCTCCGACAGTGGAACCAGGATGTGTCTCTAATGCACAAATGGACTTTGGGAGCCCCTTCCCTATGGATGGATACTCTTCTCAGTCTGGATACATGGGGGAGGGCTTAGGTCCTGCCTCAAATGATATGATAGACTTTGATGATCCTCCATGGAAGGCCTCACCCTCCCTGGGAAGGGGATGGGAGGGAGAAGGAACTGGGATTGATAGGTAAAATAATTATTAAATAAAAATATATAATAAAAAAATCAGTAAGATTACTCCAAACATGGTATGAAATGGAGCTTAGAACCACACATCATGACAATAGAAGCTGGGTACTGTGCACACCTACAATTAACATTACTTTGTGGTTCAGGGCTGGATAGGGTGGTGGAGAATTTAGGATTGCTGTTGAGCTTATGATCAGCCTGGGATACATAAAAAGACCCTATGTCAAACCAAACAAAACCTAAACAAACAAAATTCCCTAGAATGGAATCCCCTTTTTGAGACCATTGTGTAGGCTAGGCTGGCCTCAAACTGTTATACTTCTTTAAAGTGGTCTCTTAGGAACACTTGCTGATAGGGACATTTCTGAACTTAAGTGCAATCATCTCTCAGTGTAATGAACAAATTTGTTAAATTTCTTTCCCTTTGGGTGGCAATTTTGGAAGCTTTATTATGTTCCTTGTCTTATTTTAAGTTTCTATTGCTGTGATAAAATGTCATGACCAAAAGCATCTTGGGAAAGAATGAAGTCATAACTTTGGATCGGGGGGTCATACCCTCTTTGAAAATTTAAATCTGATGTTACACATTGCTGAACAGTAAATTCTTGTGACTGGTCTACATACAAGCAGTGTGAGAACCACCCCACCCCACCCCCTTATGTGTGTGGATATTCTGAGACCACACAGAATAATTTTGTGGTTTACCTCCTTATGCATCTCAGAGTATAGATGTTCATACTGATCTTGTTTTGCCAATTTTAGGTTGATTTATTTTGAGCTAAGCCCAGGCCTTACTCTTGTGCAATATTTGTTTACACTGTAAATATGTATCTCTGCCTAAGTTACCTTCCAATTGATTTAATAAAGAGTGGAATGGCCAATAGCTAAGCAAGAGGGATTAGGTGGGACTTCTGGAGAGAGGATTCTGAGAAAAAGAGAGGCAGGGAATTGCCATTGAGAGGACCAAGTGGGACATACAGAATGGAGGAGAGTAAAAAAAAACCACATGACAAAATGTAGATTAATAGAAGCAAGTTAATTTAAGTTATAAGATATAGTTGGGGTCAAGCCTATGTTAAAGGCCAAGTTTTCATAATTAATAGCAAGTCTCCATGTTGTTATTTGGGGCTGGTGATCCAAAGACTGACAAGATAGCTTGCAATACCTTGCTTTCATATGTTATATCCTTTCTTACAGGTATGTTCCATCATACTTGGAAGTAATCATAGAATTATGTTTTCATTTCTGAAGAGCAAAGGAGACAGGAAATAGGGTTTTACATTCCCTGGACAATGTTGAGACCCTGCAACATTTACTGTTGAATAAAATTGCATATTTAGTTTAAAATGGAATCCAAGTATTGGTTTTCTTGACTATAACCTCAGTGGCCTGGAACACTCAGGAACAAACTCTTATTCTTTTATTATTACAAAGCCATTCTTTGTTTTACTACGAATTCACTTTAGAAATTTAGAAATTAGTATTTTGAATTCTAACCTAGATCTCTGATCTTCAGTACTAAAGACCATTGTTTACTACATAGACATTTGTCTTGTTTCTCACTCAGGTGTGGACACCTCAAGATCGCCAGTGTATCCTGAATTCCTTGGCACAGTTGCTCCTGGATAAGGACTATACCCTTTTGCTTGGTCGCCAGCTGCGCCCTATCCTCTTGGATTTGCTGGAAAGAAATGCTGAAGCCATTAAGACTGGGGGCCAAGTCAACCATGATCTACATGAACGTCTCAGTGTGTCAATGAGCAAACTCATTGGTAACCACCCTGATGTTCTTCCGTGAGTAGCAGTTTGATTCACATTTCTCTGTGAGCTGATAGCCTCTTCTTTCAAGTCTTGCTGTAACTAAAGCACTCAGCAGGTTGAGGGAAGATGCTTTCGAATTTGGGGCCAGTTTCCAATATGTAGCAATAACCCTGTGACTATTACTATTTACATTCAATTTTTCTGTAGAGGGTAGCACAGGTCAGAGGACAGGTTAGAGGTCAGTTTTCTTCTTCTATGTGTTTGCTGGGAGGTGAATTCATGTGTTCAGGCTTGGTGGCAACTACTTAACCCTGAGCCATCTCCTCACCAGCTTTGACTTGAGTATTCCACAGTCTGGCCTCAATCTTGTGGTCCTCTCAGTTTGAGAGAGTGCTGTCACTACAGGTGTGGGATACAGCCATGATATCCCCAGTCATCTCAGAATTTGGCAGAATGTTCTTTCTGGCACCACTGAAAGGAGAATTAGCTTCAGGAGGCTGATTTCAGAGGTGAAGCGTTCTTGCTACTCTTTCAGAGAACTAGCATATGGTTCCCAGCACCAACAGCTATTCACACCTCAGG